GTGCGACCTGCAGACGAGGACGGGCGGCTGTCAGGGTAGCTCCCTGGCTCAGTAGGTGGTGGAAGCCGACGGTCTGGGGGTTCGGCCGTGGTGTGAGTGAGCCGTGTGTTGTTGTGCTTCAAAGGACGGGGTGACTTACCTCGTAGCTGGCCGTAGTAGCAAGGTACGCTTCCATGCTCCAGCGGTAGATTCGTCCGGGTTCAGCACGATTACGACAGTAGGAGCTTGTAAGACCAAGGAGGCGTGAGCGGCCTATCCAAGCTGCACATCTTCAGGACCGCAGCCGGGCTAATGAACTCGGAACTCCAGTGAGTATTGCTCGCGGTATCCCCGAGTGTCCTCCTAACTCAAGTGACGATTGAACCTGGCCGCATTAGGTGGCCAGGTGCCTTCACCTGACAGAAAAGAGGGGCAGCGGTCAGGCATCTAGTATGAAAGGGACAACGACAGGGAGGGTAGTACGCGCATACCTCGGAGGGATCAACGTGCAGAGTGAACTGAAAGTAACGGGGGTTGTCCCTCGGAAGGTCGTGGCTTGTTGCCAACTTTGACGGGGGCAATAGTCATAACGGGCGGCAGGCGGAATACTTACCTGGCCGAGGTCGTGCTTATGCCGGTCCATGGGAGGGAGGAGCGAGTTGGGAAGTCGTGGATCCTGCCCTCCGGACTATGGGTCACCCATCCCACTAGCAGGTGCAGCCAAAGGACTGACCTGCAGTGCAAGTTTGCTCCTTGGCTGGCGTGCGGCACTTATGTAGATTAATATGGCCACGTACTGGTTTTACGAGAGAAGGAAGGAGGGACTATGCTTTGTGCCGATAACCCATGTCTTGAGCCGCCGCCATGGCAGTACAGACCTCGATCTTCTGAGGGGTAGCTGAGCTTTTGAAGGAGGTGTGGCTACGAGTAGAAGGGACTGTCGGAGAGTCTGCAGTTAGAGAGTTTGATCTCAACTCATCTGGCCGCTGTGCGGTACGGCCAGCATCATGCTGCTTCGCGGCTGCAGGCTGTTGCTGGTTGTGGCGAATTGATGCGGCCGGCTGCTGCGCACTGCTGCGCGGTCGTGATTGGGCTAAGGAGAGACATTGGGTTTTGAGGAGGCGATCAGACTAGACAAAATAGGGGCTAGTGTTGCGATCCGAGAGGTCGTCAGGGGGATCGACTTCAACAGTTTGACTACAGCTGTCACTAGTTGGCCATCATTGCGGGGCCCTCAGGTGAACCAAGGTAACAAGGCCCTCTCTTGCGAGTCTGAGAGCATCATCCTTGGATTTGAGAATCTCAAACCCTTCTCTATCTACCTTTCTAAGTCTCAGTCTAGTCCTTGGTTACGAGAGGAAGGCGGCAGGCGGGATTGCAACTCGTAGGTCCGCGCCAAGGCCTCTGTGGGAGGTTCGCCCCGCCGATTGCGGGAGCTCTGCCGAAAATCAGGAGGAGTTCTGGAGGCAGGGAATCGTAAGGTAAACCATTTTCATCTGTACAACCTACCACCACCCATGTTTGTTTATCCCCCTGCAGTATGACTGTTGTATGCATGAGGTTGTCCCTATGGTTTTTGCTTTCTCTTCAGGACCCAATCAGACTGAATGGTAGGAACGTGTGAGAGTGAAGCCTAAGTTTCTTCTTTATTTTGGTTGAAAGCAGACAAAGGGATAAACTGGGGGAAGGCGGGCGGAAGGTAGTCTTGCATGCATTTGGAAGGGTCAACCAAAGTCTGAGCATTGTTTCCATAGTGAATGGCTCAGGACTGTGTTTATTTGACTGTTTTCTGAAGGACCAGACATTGTTTTCATGGTGAATGGCCTGGTTGCTGTGTTTATTTAGTTTTTTTCTGGGGAACCAGGCATTGTTTCCATGGTGAATGGTCTGGTTGCTCTAGTTAACTCTTGGGGGTTGCCTGATTGAAGGAGTTTAAGTTCTTGTTTATTCTGAGGGAGGATTTCTGGTCTAAGGCTAAGCATTGTTTCCATAGTGAATGGTTTAGCCTGAAAACCACGCACATAAGTTAAACTGAGTATAAAGGGAAAATACTTTATATATATATTTGCATGTGAACTGGCAACTGGGTTTTGTTTTCATGGTGAACGGTCCAGCGTTAAGCCATATCATCAAGAAGAGAAAGGGAAAAATTTGAAGTATAAATGGAAATAGTAAGGGCGAGTTGAACATTGTTTTCATGGCGAATGGTTCAGTCCTCTGCTCATATTTGCTTTCCTTTTTGAAAACAAAGTCAGAAAAATACTAAATTTTGGATATTAAACGGCTCAGGGCGGCTAGGCATTGTTTCCATGGCGAATGGCCTAGTCATATGCCCAAAAGAAGAGAGAAGTAGTTATGAAACCTGTTCGTATAAATCTTAAAGGCAAGTTGGGCATTGTTTCCATGGCGAATGGTCCAGCTCTATGTCTTATGTAAGAGGAAAATAAGGGTTCAAAGACTTAAAAGATTTATAAACTATCTATATGAAATGAACTTGGGATGGTGAGAGTACTTACATTCGTGGTTTGTTTTGCATGTGACTGAGTGAGATGGCTAGTTTGTTTGGGTTTCAGTATTATAGGTAGTTGCTTAGTTGTTCGCCATGTGCTAGAGTCATAGGAGTTAGTGTCAATTCCTGCATTTTCTGTAATAATTTTTTTTTTACTTAGGTTAATTCTTGCATTTTCTGAGATTTTTTCTTATACTTGGCTTTGTATAAATTTTGGCAAGCTACTTTCCCTACGGGAAGCGCTGCCGAAATTTCTACAAATCCAAGGAGTTAGTTGAATTTTGACTTGTCAAAAGTTCAACTTTGTCCTTTCTCTTATCTGACTTTGTTAAAATCGGGGAAGTCTCCCTTTCTAAAGGGAATGCTGCCCAAATTTTTGCTAGTTCAGAGAGTTGGACAAAATTGAACTTTGGGAAGTCATAATTACTTTCGAATTTTGGACTTAGCCTTGTATAAATTTTGGAATAACACTTTTCTAGAGGGAGTGCTGCCGAAATTTCTACAAAATTAAAGAGTTAGTTGAATTATGTCTAAAGTTGAGCTCGAGTTGTCGTTCGAGTTCATATTTGACTTAGTATAAATTTGGGAAGTCTTCCTTTCTAAAGGGAGTGTTGCCCAAATTTTCTGCTATTTCAGGAAGTTAGACATAAATTTGACTTTCCAGACCTATAAATTATTTCTGCTTCCATATCTGACTTAGTATAAATCTGGGAAGTCTCACTTTCTAAAGGGAGTGCTGTCTAAATTTCTGCTATTTCAGGAAGTTAGACATAATTTCGACTTTCCGGAGTTATAAATTATTTCTGCTTTCATATCCAGACTTATATAAATTCTGGAAAGACACTTTTCATACGGGAAGCGCTGCCGAAATTTTCTTAATTTAAAGGAGATAGATTATATTTTGACAGGTGACTATTCTGGCAATCCATCCTGAATGGGGGAGATTCTGCCATGAGTCTACCTTTCTTTAGGCACTTGCTTAGAGGTAAGCTTAGATATAGTTAACTAGGATGATTCTTGAGTGAGATCGTGATATGGGGATTATTCTCCATGGACTTATAGGTTTAGCCTGGGGCATTGACCTGTCATGTGTTACAGGTCCTCTTGATTGTTTGGTTCGTGTTCAGGACTAGATTCGGTTTGATCCCTTGAGGATCATCTTCTGTTATCACTGATAACAGGTCGGTTGTCGATTCGTCGGTTTGCGACTCAATTCCAATTCACTCCTGTCACTCAACCTAAAGGCTTTAGCCATGTGTTTTTTTTTTTTTTTTTTTTTTTTACTCGTACTTTATTGAATGGCCATTTAACGAAGATACTGAGTATTTTTATTGCGGGGAGGTTGCGCTGAGGTTGAGGGTTGCATGGCTAAAGCAAGGGGTATGAGTACAAAGAATGATTGAAGTTGACCCCGTGTAGTGTGTAGACTTCTGGATGAATCTTTGATGTGATTGCAGGTGCGTCTGTGGTTCGAACTTTGGATGTGATTGCCTGCGATTACATACATATGTGGTTGAGAGGAGCCCCGCTGTGACTGTGAGAAGTAATCGTCCTATATAATCAAACCTCATATATTTACGAGTGCCCTGAGTATTTGAGAGGCCTGCTGTATTTGTGCGTAAGGGTTAACCGGATTATGACTTGAGAGAAAGGGAAGACTCTCTGTTATCCTTTGCTTTTTAGAGTTTTTATGGTTGGACGTTGTAGTCCGTGGCAACCGTCAAAGTCAAACCCCTTGACTTTTACCCAGGCCTGGAGTAGGACTCATCCCCAGGGCCGCAAGAAACGACTGCCACCACAGGTACGGACCTTTGTACCACCCACTGTGCATAGAGTGCAGAAGAGGGTGTGTGATCTTCAACCGTGCATGGCGGTTGTCCAACGTCGAGAGATTAACCATCGAAGCGCGTGTCAGCCGACACTTGAGTGTCGAACACGGCCCTCGAGATTAACGAGGATCGCATAAGTATGGGTACCACATAGTACGCCATCATTATGACTGCTTGCGTACGATTGCATTGCGAGTCGATATAAGTCAGCCCTGCGTCCGCGCAATTTTATACAAAGTCTCGCGCGTGACGCCTATCCGATTTCCGCATAAAAAAGTTATGGGACGGCTACTGAAGGGACTATGAGTGTTGTCGCGTTGTTTTGTTGTATCGTTTCGTATATGCATGTGTGTGTGTTTTATTTTTGTGTTTGTTAGAGTGGTGTGCGCGTGGTGTGTGGGACGCGTCCTGGTCGACCAACGACGAGCCGCGCTTGAGACCTCAGCCCCCCAAAATGTCGGTTCGCGTGCGGGTCCGCTAGGGGCGTATTACCGCGGCTACCCCCTATGCTACAGCGAACGAGAAACGCCCTCGGCTGGTCCACCTCTGCGATTGCAACTGATTAGCTTTCGTACTTTGGATTGGTAGCTCGGTGGAGATACGCCCACCGAAGGGAGGTGACAACTCTCGTAAGGTGTAGGTAAGTCGTGCCTCGCGTAGGTCCTATCCTGTCGTAGGGACTCGCGAGAGGTATGGCTGGCGCACTCGGCCGGAGCGGCTTAAGGAAGCTCCACATGTATTATCTGCGACGAAGGATTTAACAACTCCTGCGTGAAGCGACTGAGAGGGTCCCGCGCTGCCCTGATGCGGTGCCGGACCGATGCGCTCGACAGCGGCGCCACCACAAGTGTATTACACGTATCCTGGAGGTCAAGCCCCATCGACGGCTTCAGTGCAGCCTTCGAATGTGCCGACACCTGCGTTTCAAATACCGCAACCGGTGCTATGCGGCGCGCAGCAGTGGCCATCGTTTAACCCGTGGCAGGGTAATGGCGAATGGGCTGAACCGACACAAGTTCCAGTTTCAGTGCCTGGCGCAGCACCAGCCCAAGCAGCGGCACCAGTACCTGCCCCATTTCTTGGGCAACATCAAGGCGGTAATTCTCATAATGCTCACAGTGGACAGGGAGTCGGTCTGTCGACATCTAGTGGAGGTGGGAAAGGACCGGCCGCTAACAACTTCCCAGGGTTTGGGAATCGAGCTTACTTTACGAAAGAATATATGGAGATCTTTGAAGGGATTAAGATGGAGAAGGTGCTCGATCAAGCCAAGAAGAAGATGGCAATCTCAAGGAGGAGCAGTGTGAAGATCGTGGAACTGCCCGATGACGGAGGACGTCCTGAGCCACTAATGAATGAGAAGAATAATGACATGAAGGCATGGGTAACTTCTACACTAGGAGACTCATTGAAACTGATCAACGAGAAGCTCGAGGAGGTGGACAAGAAGGCGAAGATGATCACTGGCGAGCGGGCTGAACTCGAACAGCTCCGATTGGAGAAGCTGAAGAATGAGAAGGAGAGTAAGGAGTCAAGCACCGAGAAGAGGAAACGGATCAGGGTCTGTACGCCAGTTGAGCACTCCCCTTCAAGCACACGAGGGAAGACCCGATCGCGCGGAAGCACGAAGACAAGGCCTAAGCGCATTGAGATCTTGGATGACGAAGGAGATGCCGGCGTCAGAAAAAAATTTGGAACGAAGATGGAGAGCTTGTGTGAGCTCTCGGATATCAAGCAGATGCTAGCCGCGCTTCTGCAAGGGTTGAATAATCCTAAAGAGTAAGGTCATTGAACCGACTCCAGCAGCAGTGGAGGATGCCGATCTTGTGCAGAACGCCAACGTCGACGACGAGGGAGAAATAGACGATGGGGGCCTACCAGCATATATGAAAGTGCGTCATGAGTACTACAACTCACTACACTATACCAGAGTACATAAACTTTGCAAGGAGAAGAGTGTTCAGTACTTCAAGAAGGAGATGGGCGCATGGGAACTCGCCCGCATCGACCTGCAGGAGTACGCAGACTCCCTGAGCGAAGTACAGAATGTGGAATGCTCACGGAAGAATGAAGGACGCGGCGGAACCGATGGACACACATCGGGTACCGAGGCCAACTCAGTAAAGAGAAACTGAGCGGGGGTAGCCTTCGCTCACTGAAACGGGCCGTTGCCCGTTAACTTGAAGTCAGGCGTTGATAGGTCTATGCGAGTGCTCTTGGGCCGTATTCATGTTCTCATTATCCTCTTGGCCTGCCTGCGTGGTGACTTGAGTTGGGGTAGTGCGTATGTCGGGTTTTGGTTAAGGTTTTCCCGAACTGACTGGAAATAACTGCTAGATGCTAGCGGGTGTGTTTACGTGCTCATGTCACTAAATCACAAATTAGTTTATGTCGGAAAAACAGTGAGAGCACTGCACGTCGGATGGGGTGAACACTGCCGTTCCGCGGATGGAAATAGCAAGCAAAAGGTGCATTCCTGGTTGAGGAAAGCAGGCACCGCGGAATATGTACCGATTCCGATTTGGTTTGGAGATGAATCTGCTCTCGAATGTTTTGAACTTGCTACCATTAAAGGATTCAACCCAGGCCTGAATTCACGTGGAAAAAAGAAACGTGGTAGGGAACGAAGATCCTGTTGCCGGAAGAAACCTCACACACTCGCACCAGTGCAAATTGTCGAACCACTATTGTCTTCTTGCAAGGATGCTGACATTTCTAACAATCCAGACCTCCTTCGTGTTCTAAAAACACTGTCGAAAAGAAAGAAAACCAGGACGGTTAAGATTAAGAACAATGCCAGTGGTCGTTGGCTGAGAGCTTGACGACTTTGTGTTCTGTTGTATGGGTTTTCGAAGATTATAATCTAGGATGAGAATCTTCTTCTGTTGGATGCCAGAAATCAGATTGAAGCCGGTAGCGACTGGGTGATCACAGAACTCATTTGCACCCGCACAAAGACAGAACAGAAAAAGGCAGAATTGATTTCACTGTTGAGAGCACCGTGGAAACGAAGAGACCTATATAAAAAGAGCCTAAACGAACTACTCGAGTTGAATAATGTTGTAAAGACGGTAAACCAACATCGAGGTAGACAGATTTTGCGAAGTCTGCTTACTAACGCATGCAAGAAATGTTTTGGTGTAAATCCCCGTGCGTCTGTCACTTTGAAGATTCCTTTTTGTACTACTATCGACAAACATAAGGTTGTTGACACTGTTAAAGACTGGATTAATGGTCACATCCTACCAAAGTCGTTAGCTGACGTGTATGTGAAGAGAACTCGGGCCGTATGGCTTAAAGCCAAGTCGGTCGGAGATCTCTTACATAATCAAAAAAGGTTTGCACAACACAGTCAGTTTGACTGTGTGTGTGATGCTTTTGATTTGCCCAAATTAAATGGGCATGTCGCCGTCAAGCTAAGCGAAATTGATGAGATTAAACCTTTTCTCCATAATGCTAAAAATGTTCATTTCCCTGGGTTAGTAGTAAACAGGGACTGTCTAAACCAGGCTTGCAACGAAGCCCTTGACGGACTTCGAAGCGCTGGCCTGGATTTGGACACAATAAAGGTTAATTTCAGCACTGTGTGTAAGAAAGGTGAAAAGAAGCCCGAGGGTTGTGTGCTGACTGGATACGTTTTGGGCATCAAACAATTTTTTGAAGGCCTTGTTTTTGCCCCACTGGACCATAATACCAGTGAGACCTGGATCGAGTGTCCAAAAAGGTTCGAACAAGGTTTACAAAAAATGTTCCTAAATAACAAAAATTATGAAAGAATATCCAAAGACAAAGGATAAATCCTTGCCAGTATGAGGAGGGAGTACGAAGATGCTGGTTTGGCAAAAATTGCGAACTGGGATAGGCGTGGGAAGTTGCAATATGCCTATATAATGGCAAAAAAAAAGGACAAGGAAAAACAACGACCTATTGTCCCAGCTTTCCAAAATCCATTTCGTTCTGGCTCTGGGATCCTATCAGTTGCCCTCAACGAATTGGTTAGGAGAGTGAAAGTTCCTCATTTTAACCTACGAGCGACAGGGGACCTACATCGCGTCATCGAAACAGTGAACAAAAAAGGAGAGTCACCGTCGTTGGGCCTGATTGCACGGACATATGACATCAAAGAGATGTTCACTCAACTCCCTCGAGCTGTAATTCACCAGGCAGTGGAATGGCTGATCTTGCAGTTCAGTCAATTGGGTATCCGCTGGATACGAGTAAACAGCCGGAAAAGACTTGCCACTTTTGTTAAGTCACATGGCGAGGCCGGATGGAAATCAATCCGCCTTAATAAATTGACAGCACTAACCCAGTTTCAACTCAGCAATACTGTGTTCTTGGTGGAAGATGCGACCCTTCTACAAAAACAGGGCATCCCAATGGGTGGAAGAGCAAGCCCTCCTCTTGCCTGTGTAATGTGCATGTTCTCCGAATACAAGTTCGTAAGCACTCTTGGTGTCGACGCTAAGTTGATCACCAGGAAGAGGTATATCTACGATCTTTTACTCCTATCTTTCTTTCACAAAAATGACCCCGACGGTCTGGAACGAGCCCGGGCTCGACTGGACAAAATTGCCCATTGCTACCCAAAAGAACTGATCTTGGAACGAACCGACTCCAGCTCGAGGGTCCTGGATTTTCTGGAGATCCGCTTAATCGTTTTTGAGCCTACAGCGCGCATTCTGTCGACCCATAAATTTAAAAATGCAGAAACCATTCGGTTTCCAAATCCACTGGGAATCCGAACCTGTACAGATTTTAACTCATATGGACCGAAAACAACAAAATTTATTGTTGTCGCCAAATACGGTTCTGCGGATTTCTCAGAATTGCAATGATGCAGGTACCGTCATACTAAGTGTGCTCACATTGGCCTCAGAATTGAGGAAACCAAACTACCCATTGAAGGTAGTCGTCAAGGGGTTGAAATGGATGAAGAAAAGGGATGGGTCCCCCTTTTGGGACCGGATGGCCGAGGTCGTTACCAACACGTGGAGTTAAGTTATTCGCAATTGGTTCCGCTGACCGTCGTGACGCACCGGGATCCAGGATCGACTAGGATTCTGTTGTGTGTTCATACGTGGGTACGTACGAGAATGTGGACAAACACGATTACAGGTGTGTTGTATTCTTCTCACTTGGATATGAGCAATCGGTACGGTCGATAATGCTCAGATATCGTCTGAATATCCAGGTGTTTTGGCAGTATCTCTGCAGCAGCTTTCACATACTCGGAACACACGCTATGCGATGGACCAGGTTCAGTGAAAGAGGTGGCAGCCAGCGCCGCATAGTGCGTTTTTTCTTTTGAGAATAACTCTGAAAATCAGTGTCTATGGCCTGAAGGTAGTGTTGCGTTTTTCAGGCCCCGTATGAACAGACGCACGGTGCAAAGGGGCCCTACTGGGGGTATGGTTGGCTCCGCAGTCGTCTGATTATTTTTTCGATTTTTTCGATTTTGCTTTTCTGAATTTTTTCGCTCTTTTAGGAGGACGAACAGGGTAGCATTTTAGTATATAAAACATAGGAACGTAGGTTGCGTTACCTCAATCTGAGTGGCGTATTGAGTGGAAGGGTTGAGTGGTTTGGAGGAGAAGTTGCTGTACGCCATGATATTAATGCTCAAGGCATCTTCTTCTGGTTTACTTCCATGTGTTTGTAATCTTTTCTCTCATGTACTGTATGTGCCAAGTTTGGTGTTTGTTTGGTTCCTCGAGATGGTTGTTTGGGGCAATGCTGAAAATTGTGAAAATCGACAAATTGAAATATTGGTGAAGTCCTTTGGGACATCCGTTAAAATTGGAACGATACAGAGAAGATTAGCATGGTCCCTGCGCAAGGATGACACACATAAATCCAGAAATGGTCCAAATTTAAAATTAAAAAAAAGAAAAAAAAATGTTGGTGAAATTTCATGAAAGTGCACTTTTGGCTTGCTGTTTTATATGTTTTTATTTTTTATTTTTTTATTTTTTTACAATATGTTAGTAAGAAGTGCACTCTACAGATTGGTGTAAAGTATGGTTAAAATGACCCTTCAATTTTCTTATAAATGACAGTGAAAATTGGGGGGTCGGTTAACCTTCTCTCGCCTTCGGCACCGGGCTCGTTATGAATAAAAACGTTCTGGGGAAAGAACAAAAGAAGTCGCGCTGGACCAATGACAGTTACCCACAGTACTCGGCCACTCGGTTGTCCAGCTGAATCCTTCTGAAAACCCCACCCACCCTTCCTCTTATCATTTTTGCCCTTGCGCACCCCCACCCCCCTGTCCTACCCTAGTGTTAACCACCTGGGACCATCACCCATTGCCATATTGGCAGGGTGACCTGATCAGACAGCGGTTGCAGGCACCCGGGCTAGGCAGAGAGACCTACCCCCTGCTCAACCCTGGTTGAAGCAGACGCCGTGGAAGCCCGATTGCACGGGGACTTCGGAGCTAGGTATGAACATGCTACTACAGGTCTTCATGAGGGTGCACATTGTTACGTTGTATTACTACTATTGTGTTTGATGGCAAAGAGTTGGGGATCCTCCGTTCCCTCGTATATCCTTGGAGCCCGTTTCAGCCCCACGGTAAGGTGCAGTATCTCCTGACACCCCCGACATCCCGTACTAAGGAAGTGCTATGCCAGCCTTAAACCTTAAGCTATGTACTAGGAGGATAACGAACCCTAAGTCGTGGATCATGAACTGTATCATCTGTATGTATTGACCCTGGAGAACCCTGTGTTGTATGATAAACTGTGAGAGTTGGGCAATCTTTGACTACGTACTAGGAGGATGACCAGCCCTAAGTCATGATCTGGTATCGAACACGGGACCTCATATGAATCGT